GCCTCTTACCTTGGTTGTGTTAGATAGTGTATGCCCTTAGCTCCAATTATTTTGATGTACAAAAACATTTATTGTAAATGAATAAAACTACATTATTGTTTCATGTTGTAATTGGTATGTTTCTGTGAAATTACCCCTTGAACTAGACACTTATGAGACTCGTGTTAGTTTAGAATGTTCTTAACAGTTTGATAGACTTTGGGAGTTTATCCTGCCAAGGCTGACACTAATGTGCTGCCAAAGAAGCTGGGGCAACTTATCTCAGTTGCTAGGGTTAGACCCGAAGCACATGTAGTGTGTGTATGATTTTAACACTGAACCTGAACCATTTTTCAATTATGCCCTGGACCTTGGAGATTGATGGGCAAAACTGAAAAGTTACACATAACCCCCAGACTTGATTATGGTACTGCATTGGGTGTTGGATCGGGCTGTCTTTGATATGCTAATCAGTGAGATCCTTTGGGGGTCAAAACCCGGGTTTGTTGGGACAGTCTGAAAATTAACTTTAATGGGTGATCATAGTGATAGGATCAGCCATTTTGTCGGACAAAGTGAATGATCGAAACTACACTATCTCTGATAGAAACCAAAATTGCTGGCAGTTGATTTCAATCGTGTTTGAGATTTGTTTTGCAAAAATATATTTATATGTACATACATATATATATATATATATTATATATATATGTATATGTATATTATGTTTTAAGAAAAATGTTTAAATTCCTGGGACCCATCTGAGCAGAGAGTGCAATACTACACCTTGCAGTTAGGGGAGATATCCTTCCATGTCGGGTAGTGTTTAATCATTGTGGATAGAAAAGGTTACGTGTAAGAAACCATTAAGGGTTGTTTACTTGATGGGCTATATCTTACTTAAGTCCATTATCTTTGGGCCTTCATAGGATGGCTGAACTCAGGGATCATTTAACTGTAAATGTTGGGCCCATTTTGAGCCCATACTGATGGGCTCAGGGGTTCACTACATTTGGCAGTGAATTCGGCTGCACCGAACCCATATGAGCTTATGCAAGATCATTGTTGGGGGTCCCACACCATACAAATTGAACTGAAATGGACCAGCAACTCTCTTGGGATGTGAGCTACTTAGTTAATGGGCCTAAAGCGCTTGATTAATATGATTAATCAAGTGGTCACGTGACTGCTTAAGCTGTCATGTGATTTGGGCGAATATGGGTTTGGGGCACCTATTCTCATAAGAGGATAAGACCAATCAACTGATAGAGTCCAAATCCAAATAAAAATTTTGATTACAAACCTCCTAATGATTAGGAGTGGTGCTTCTTAAAGATTAAGAAAAGAGAGACTTAACTGCTTCAATACTCTATTCTTTTAGCTCTCTCTGCTCTTGCCGCCTAGAAACCCTAGTTCGACCTCCAATTCTTTGGACTGATCTTGATCAGTTATACCTATGATTTTTGCAAGAAAATTATAGAGAAAAGTTGTGCTCACCTCCATTGTTTGATCCATACAGTTGGATTGTTGTTTTGCTGAAAACTGCTTTGTTGAACCAGCTTCACTCCAAGTTGTGTCATCTTCAGTGGAAGCTGGTTTTGGGATTCAATTTGGGCGTGAACTACCAATTTGGGAGCTACATCTGTGGAATTCGTTACAGGTATACTTCTCCCTCTTGTTTTATTTAAAATTTGATCAGGTTCCGGTGCAAGATCGATCATAAAAAAATGCAGATTTTTTAAAACTGCGAATGCGATTCCTATAAGATTGAAAGAAAATTTTTGAAAATTCGCCCAACCATCTAGCATGGTTCGGTCATCCATATGATGGATTTCACCTTCCTTCAGGTCAGTTCCCGTGTCAGTTAGAGCCTGAGGTCGAGGCATCTTCTCGACAGGCACAGTTCCTCTCAGCGTCTGCCTCCTTAACGTGCCCTCGCCTTATGCTTTCTTCTTAGCCTGGGCCCTCTCCAACAACAACCTCTTTCCATAAACTGGCATCTCTGCAAGAAAACGAAACACGTGTCGGTACCTCTAAGAAAAAAAATGAAAGATTGACGTGTTAAAAGCTGACAATAGGACTTCTCCTACCGAGGCGGGTGGGACTGACCCCAACAAAAACCAAGAGAAGCTCCTCCTCCAATAGGGGCTTGGCCTGGATCGTCCCCAGCACGAGAATGTGGGTCATTACGTCGGCTTCATTGTCTCAAAGGAAAGGCATGGGTTTCTCGGTGGCTAAGTGCATCTCCCCCGTCCTGACCTAAACGACCAACCCTCAGGATAACAGATAAAGAAGAGTTTGCTCTTCCAGTGGTGCACAAACGAAGGGTTGTCAACTGATTGGCCTCTCCAAGACTAAAAATAGTATATGTCGTCCTCGTGAGGGTGAGGTCTCGACACAAACATGGCACGAAAGATCATTTGGGAAAGCTTGATGTCTCGGAGCCAAGCCACCACCAGCATGGCGATGATGGTCCTAAGGGCATTAGGATCTAGTTGGCTGATGGAGATGTCATACCACCTCAGCAGCTTGGGGATGAGAGGAAACCTAAGGCCGAATTCTAAGAAATGCTAGTAAATGCAAATTTCCCCCTCCTCCGACGTCCACGACTGATCATTGGTGTCAGGAACCCTAAGCATGTAAGACCGAGGGATGTAGTACCTCCTCGATAGGTCTTCACCTGGTCAAAGTCAAGAACACTGCCCTGCTCCGAGCGCGACAGATGCCCTATGTTCACCCCTCGGTCCGAATAGTCGACTGCCGTCCTCAGGGACTTCCTTGCCCTCAACCACGTCAGGTGACCGTGGAGACCCCTCGACTTCCCTCGGCCTCGTAGATCTGACGCTCTCATTAGGAGATTCATCCCCCCCCTTCGGCTGCATTCAGCACCCACCTGGGCAATCCTCTCCCTTAGCACCTCAACCTCAAGCCTCGGGCTCACTCGGCGTGCCCCTTCTGCAATTGGCAGTAGACGAAATTCGGAAGGAGCTCGCGCCTCTAGAAGTCTGGGAGTTCATAGCATTTTGGGCTGGAGTCTGAGTAAGACATGGGTGCTGAAGGGGTTCTTTACCTAACGATACGAAGTCTAGATGACTCTAAGGAAAGCCGAGGTCTCTCGGATGCAAAGGCACTGGGAAACAAGGGCACTTGGAAGCAAAGGAGCCTGAAAGCAAATGGTAGAAGCGAACGCGACTAAGGCCCCTATTTAAAGGAAAATGGACGACCAGATTGCCTCCAATCCAACAACTACACAATGGCCGCCTTTGTAGTTCTATCTAGCGATCAACACACGTCGCTCACCTCGAGAAGACAAAAGTACGTCGGGCGAGCCGACCAGTCTCCTCGCCACATCAACCGGTTTGCCTAGTGACACCAAACCAGGAAATTCGTAACCCGGCCCACTTGACTCCCGTCTCTCCTATGGGCGCGATGGTACGACCCATCTTGCATATGGCTCCAACTCGAAGCCCGTCCCGAACACGATTCTACCTTGCAAACATAGGAACCCGTGACGCACACGATATGCGCCCGTCACCGAGATCTGTCCCCCGATGGGTCATAACCTATTAGTAGCTTAGTGAGATCCACTCCACACATGGCTAAGTCATGATCACTAGACAATATGTAATCCCTTGGCAACCTCAGCAGAGGCCGGCGCCTCACATATACTCACCTTGGCACTAGCGTAAGACAAGACCGGGGGGCAAACGCCCTTTCATTCGTGTCTGGTACGTACCATAGCTAGATGAACCTGAAGGTAGTGATAAAGACATCTTCGACAAGCCGAGGCCGAGGTCAAAGCCCTACAAAGGGAGCCCTTCGACGCCCCCTAGTGAGGACATGGCATTAACCTCAACCTAGGCCCTCACCGGATAGGCCCTAGTGACACCTCTGAGCACAAACGACACACTCTCTTCAGCCGAAGCTGAGGTTCCAAGGTGAGACCTCCATCATAGCCTCAAGAGTGGGGGGCAAATGATGTAGGCGCATATGGCCTTGACCAATAACACAGTGCACATATTTGGTGGCGGTACTCAGAGTGGACCCAATCAGGGCTTGTCTAGAGCAAATATCGACATGCAACCCAAAGCAAATGGTGCGGCTGCACTTGGTGACCTCGGATGACCGCGCTCCTTTGGGGTTGGACTGCATCCTGACAGTTCGAGCCCACCTACCTCCAGGCGGCCTCAAGTATAAATAGGGGGCAACCTGCTCAATAGGAATGGAAATTTCCCCCGTAAAACCGGGCCCCCCCCGAATGGGTGGGTTTTCCTCGACCCTAAACAAGGACGGGGCGGGGACGGGGAGGTGGTGCCCCGCCTCAAACCTGCCCTGTTGCCATTCCTACCCCTCAAGGTAAACATATGGAATCTGGACCTAAGAACTCTTAACTTTCTTTATGGCCTCGTCTAAGTGTTTCCACCTCAGGCCTCGTCCACCTTGCGTTGCACCCATACTAACTTGACCGTCGGAGTTCTTACCTCGGGCATCAACCTAGGGCCTATAACGTTCTCTCTTTTACTCCTCGCAAGACCGGCCTACCAACCCTCGACCACCCCAGGCCTTGGACTACTCAACCACACCCCTACTTGGAAGCGATTTGGCAATGTTGCCCTTGGCCTATTATGACCAGCAACAAAATGAAACAATGGATGCTTGGTACTTGGTAATTTTCTTCAAAAAGATTGTTAGAAAGTTTTATATGAATTTGAGTTTAGGAGCGGGAAGGAGTAGGAAACCATTGTGAAAGGTTTCCTATGGGTGTATATTCGTAAGATTAGGAAGTTGCCTTCTCCCTCACGATTATAGAATTGAGAACATTAAAGAGAAATGTGAAAAGAGGGAATTGGAGAAAGAGATGGCTGTTGATGTGGCCTATATTTCTATATAATATAATTTATCTATATCGACATATATTATTATGGAATGGATACTTTCTTCTTGCGCTAAATGAAATCTACTCGTGCGAGTAGATTAGCGCTCTCACGTGCCAAACTCGGATGGAGATTTCTGGGGAGAACTCTTTTCGAGGCTTCTTTTTTTGCAGCGGATCGAGGCCTCCTCTTTTCCTCTTTTCCTCTTTTCCTCTCCCGCCAACCGATTGGTGGCTTGGTGCTTAGTCTGGATAGTCGCAAAAGTGATGCGATCCGAGTTTTGATTGAATTTCGATCGGACCAAACCGGTCCGATTTGCAGCAAATCGATCCGAGTTTTTATTTTTATTTTTCCAGTCACGCTACTGGGGGGCCTCGCCATTGGGCTCTTGCCGCAGAGACTGTTGAGTGTCTCTCTTTCTCCCTGTCAAACCCTAGATCTCGTTCCCGCCCTTTTTTTGTACTACACTTTTTTTTTTTTTAAGTTAAAACTTTTTTTGTCGCAGAATTCCAAGTTTTCATTTCTAGTTTTATCCTCTATTACTTCAACAGGCGCAAGGAGGATTTGAGAGTGAAGAAGCAGAAGAAGAATAACCAAATCGAGTAACAATGTCGATGTCCAAGAGTTCAAAGATGCTCCAGTACATCAACTACAGGATGCGCGTGACGATTCACGATGGTCGTCAGCTAGTTGGAAAGTTCATGGCCTTCGACCGCCACATGAATCTTGTCCTCGGCGATTGTGAGGAGTTTCGGAAGCTCCCACCCGCAAAAGGAAAGAAGAATGAAGAGCGTGAAGAACGGAGAACCCTAGGCCTTGTTCTTCTCCGGGGTGAAGAGGTTGTCTCCATGACCGTCGAAGGGCCACCTCCTCCTGATGAGAATCGTGCCAAGGCTGTTGGTGCTGCTGCAATGGCGGGTCCCGGAATTGGCCGCGCTGCGGGCAGAGGAATTCCGACTGCGCCGCTTGTTCAGGCACAGCCTGGGCTTGCTGGGCCTGTTCGTGGCGTTGGTGGGCCTGCTCCTGGAATGATGCAGCCTCAGATATCACGACCACCAGTTCCTCAGGTGTCTGCGCCACCAATGACTTATCCACCTGCTCCTGTGATTCGCCCTCCTGGACAGCTGCCTGGCTTCCCTGGACAGCCTCCACCAATGGCACGGGGACCACCACCTCCTATGCCTGCTCAGTTTGCTGCTGCAAGACCTGGTGGAGCATCGCCTGGCCCGTTCCCTATGCCGCCACCACAGTTTGGGCAGCGGCCCATGGTTCCACCACCGCAGATGATGAGAGGACCGCCACCTCCACCTAGACCGGGTATGCCAGCTCCCCCGCCGCCACGCCCTGGGATGCCTCCTCCACCAGGCGGTGTTCCTGTTTTTGGCCCACCTCGCCCAGGTATGCCGCCACCGCCAAACCCTCAGCAGCAACAGCAGAATCAGCCGCAGCAATAGTGATTCGGTATGCTTCTTTTCTCTTAAATTGCATGCCTTTTTTTTTTACAAGGTTGCGGTGGGAGGGTTTTTATCTGGTTATTTACTCTACTTTTTGTGCATAAGTTTATATTGTTTGATTCTATCTTGATCCAATACCTTTGAAGTTCAGTTTCTTTCTGTGAGGTGCTGAAAATTAAATGAAACCTCTACCTTCTAATAATCTATCTTTATTTCAATTCCTTCGTGATCGTGACCAACTAATCATTTTGTTGTGTATGGTTGTGGGTTCCATATTTAGCTCTCCGTTGTACATGGTGGCACCCCACTTTCTTTCTGTGATTAATACTGATCATTTAATTATCTTCTTCCACAAAAATATTCTACATATGAGTTAAAAACTTTGTATATTTTCATATTCATTTAGGCTGTGTTTGGTTTGAATGAAAAAGTAGGGAAAGGAATGGAAAATTGGAAATGTAGGGAAACCTTTACAAGCCTTGTATAGGTTTCCCTAAGGTTCCCTTCCTTTCCATACTTTTTCCTTCAAACCAAGCATAGCCTTAGGGTGCACATTTTTCAGCATTGAATTTTGCTAGCTTATACATCAATCATAGAGTCTCGTCCACCTAAGTAATCTCTCAAAACTCACTTCTGTTCATATGGGTAAATTGTTTGGAGTTTCTAAAAATGCACAGGGTTATAGTCCTTCATGAACACTTTCTATTGCCACATTGCATGGTAAAGATGCTAATGGTTTAGAATAATGGGGGGGGGGTTCATACTGCAGCTGTTTATCAGAGATTCAGAGAGTTTTTATTTTTTGATAGATAAAATTTCATATTTTCATTAGATCAAACAGGGATTACATGAACAGTCCCTTGGAAAGGTGCGAGGTGCTGCCTCTCCAAACAGAAAACACATAAGCTAAAGCAAAAAGTACATGAGTGCTGATACAAAATTACAGTTTAGCTCGGAACCCCAAAGGTGGGTATCAAGAGTCAAGACTATTATTCTATTTTGAAAAAAAAACATAGTAGAATTCTCTGTTTACTTTTGCAGTTTAGATTATAGAAAATTGAGTAGAATCTCATTCTCATATTTGAATTGAACACTTAATCATCAAAATATTATGAAAATTAAGTTAAGAAACACAACTCTTATCACTATTGCTTTACCCAAGATGTGCTCAAATACTCAATGAGTATGTTAAGTTACAACTGTGCTACATCCTAATTGGTTCAATAGAAAAACCTCTAACTCACCCTTACAATGCCCCTTTCTCTCATTGGCTCAATGGTTTAACTTGAGCTTATTAGCTCACCGTGTCTTACTTGTCAGTTATAAGTCTTGGACTACATTTATGAGGTTCAAAAGAAATTGAATATAAAACAGTATCTTTAGACTCCCAAACATGTAATGGAGACCACAAATACAATAGTACAAATTACAAAACCAGCATTCATGTATCAAAGTTCAGTTCTTGAGCCCTATCTTATTTAAAATGTAAATATACAAAGGCACATGTATCATATAAACAAATAAAATAATGTTTTTTTCGGGAATTATTTCAATAAAAATCAGATATATGCTAAATAGGATAGAATACACCTGGCTTTCTACTTTAAATCACCAATCTGAAAGTCTACCTGTTCCATAYTTTTATCTACTTGTATCAGGTTTTCTTTGAATTGAAAACAAAACCGGGGCAAGAAATCCTCCTAGCCCTAAACTCACAAATAGTGAGCATCTCTCTCACTGTTATTGAAGGCAAGTCCCTTCACTTGATTAATATGGCCAACACCATACGCAAATTCAGCTTCATGATTTTGAACAGAATTCATGGCCAACTCTTATCTTGAAGTACTTCTTTCTATTTGAATTTGAAAGTTTCATGAACTGCTGCTTAATCTTTTTTGCTCATTAGCATCTTCAATTTTCAATTTGCAAAGGGTTAACCAATCACCCTGTGCATCCATGTGAACTGGCGACTGTTAATACCGGAGCCAAACCTGGCGACTGTTAACATCGGCGCCGAACCATGCACCGTTTAATAGCAATAGGATCTAAAACTTTCGAATTTGAATCAACAATCCATAAACTTGATGGTAGTTTGGTTTTGACTGAGAGAGGTAGAGGGGCTTGGTCGAAAATTTCCTTTGAGAGGCGATCAAAGATAAAAAATCTATGGTAAAAGATCGTAAGTATGCACATAGAGGGAAGGTGCTTCTTCTTCAACTAAACGAAAACAAATGGGGTAGGTTCATCCGTTTAAGCTGCTGGGAGCTCGCTTAGAAACTCAGAACCATTTACATCCTTTGAAAAGCAAGAAAATCAGGGTGAAAATCGTTCGTTGAAGTGCTAAACCTAGTTCTCCAACATCCTGGTCTCCAAACTTCTGAAGTCCCCGTAAAAGGAGACCTTCCATCCTTAGCGTCAACGAGCAGAGTCGTTAAGGCCGGCGGTTTAGCCCACATATCCATAGCCAATCAACTGAGACCCTTCGGCAAATGGAAAAATGCCTTTGTATTCTCCAAAATAGATGACCTAACTTGGAATGAGGTTGAGCTAGGAATTACAGCTAACCTTCACTCCCCAGAACTCCTGCATCTCCACCCCTTCTCTAGTAACAGAGTAGTGGGTTTTGCTTCTTTTGAAGATTTGGTTTCCACTTGGGTGAGGTTGGAGAAGATTCTCGTTTATGGCAGGTGAGTGAAGATTGATCGATGGTGGCCGACGTTTAACTCCGTCCCCTCTAGATTAAAGTTTGATGGCTGGATTCTAGTTCATGGCCTCCCGTTCCACTTGTGGTTGGATGAGGTCTTCTCCTTGATTGGAAGCTTATGTGGAGGGTTGGAAGAGATTGACCCCAAAACCAAAGATTGGTCGGAACTGAGGTGCGCTCGCTTGAAGGTGAAAGACAGGGGAGTTCATTCCATACCCCGACCAAAACCAATCCTTGACAGAAATGTGTGGTTTTTCGCCATGATCGAAGTAGAGGAAAAAACAAAGGCTTCTTCTCCAACTGCCGAGTCAACCTGGAGCTTCGACTTGTGAACTTGGGGTAATCTTGTTGTCATAGATGAGCCTGTGGCCGACGCAGGAAGCTTATGTGATAGGAACAACAAGAAGGTGGTGACCTATGCAGAGACGTACAAAGCAAGGAAGAAAGATAACATTTCCTTGCCAGGTAAATATAAAGGAGGAGAGGTGTTTTTTTCCAAGAACTAGAAATGGAAAAAATTTCAAATTTTAAAGGGAGCTGAGACCCTTGCCCCAAAGCCCGCTACAGGCCATCTCTTTCGGACCCATGTGCTACGAAGCGCCATCGGATACCCGAACCCAACCTGGTCAAGAAATCCATCAAGCAATCGGGCTGTCCCTCACCTTCGGACCAGGGAGATTGTCTTTCGACACCAACCTTCAGCGAAATAAACATTCATGCAACTCCTCCAAGTCCAATTAATCACAGAAAGGAAATTCACCGACCCCCAACACCATTGCAGAACTCAAACCCAAGCTCTTCTAGAGAAGAAGAATCAAAGTCGGATGAAGACATGAGCACTTACAGGACAAAATCAGAGGTGAACACTTAGGAGATAGCTCTCAACAGATCCAAAGCCCTCTTTTCAGAAAGAGAAGCATGGGGAAGTGTAGAATTATTGGAGGATGTCTGCTTGGTAGATCCATATTACAGGACTCTCTCCACCAGCAAAAGCTTTGAGGCTAGACGGGGAAGAAACTTACCTCAAAACTAGCTTGCAAACCTCTCTAACTCCATTCCCTTGTCAAACCCAAAATTTTCTTCTTGCTGTTATCATTATCGCAACTCACCTTCTTACTGTTACCTTTGCTGTGTTCCAGGTTCAGGTGGCAAGCTATCCCAACCAATGACTCTCTCAAACAAAGGTGATTATGCGGAGGTTTTGGGTCCAACATCTTTGTCCAATGTTCTGGTCAGTTGACCTAGGAGGGAACAGGATGCTGATGAAGTCAATGAGATGGCCAAAAATCTAGGCCTCCAGCAATGTGAAGCTGGCAAGGCCTCCGACAAAGAATGGATCAATAAAAGAGGTAAGGGAGCTGACAGGGAGTTATCAGAATCATAGAAAAAGTTGAAAAAGGGACTAAGTAGGGAATTAAAGAGGCTACAATGGGGGATAAAAAAGTTGGAATTTGCAAGAGAAGGGAGTAGAAGAATAGGTAAGGGTAAGACCAACAGAGTTTCAAGATGAAAATCCTGAGCTGGAATGTAAGAGGGCTGGGTGGTGAAACAAAAAGAAGCTTAGTAAAAGATACCCTTATAAGAGAGTTTCCTGACATCATTCTGTTACAAGAAACAAAAAAAGAAGTGGTGGACAGGAAGTTAATCAGAGCAACATGGGGTTTAAGAGGCAGAAAATGGGCTGCCCTTTCAGCCATAGGCACATCAGGAGGGATCCTTGTCATGTGGAGAGAAGACGTGGTTACAGGAGTGGATTTTAACAACAATTCTTTTCACAAACAAGGTAGATGATTTCACCTGGATTTTAACAACAGTTTATGGCCCTAATGATCCATCAAATAGGAAAAGGTTTTGGGAAGAGTTGGATTCCTTGCATGAACATGATGAGTTTCCTTGGGTTGTGGGAGGAGACTTTAACGTCATGAAATTTAGTCAGGAACAGTCAAAGTGGAAGAGGGTCAACAGAAGCATGAGAGAGTTCTCCAACTTTATTTCCAGACATAGTCTACATGACCTCCCTTCAAGGAATTGTATCTTTACCTGGTCGAACATGCAGGAGAATGCCTTAAGTTGTAGGGTGGACAGATTCCTAATTACTTTAGATTAGGAAGCCCATTATCCCTTGACCTGTCAGGAGATCCGCCCCCGATGTACATCTGACCACTGGCCTATCACCTTAAGTACAGACTTGGAGATTAGAGGGAAATCCCCTTTCAGGCTGGAAAACTTCTGGACGGAACACAAAGACTTCTGCAAAAAGGTTGCTTTATGGTGGGGGGAATGTAAGTCAGAAGGGTGGCCAGGGTACAGATTTCTAGAAAAATTAAAATTTGTAAAAAGAAAATTAAAAGAATGGGCCAAAGAGGAGTTTAAAGCACTCGAGGAAGAGAAATCAGCACTCTTATCTAAATTGGAGGATTTAAATCAGAAGGAGTAGATTGGCTAGCTAGAGGAAAATGAAAGAAGGAGAAGATTTGAGCTCAGAAAAGAATGAGAAAAGGTAATAAGGAGAGAAGTTTACTGGAGACAAAGAACTAGGGTCAGATGATTAAAGGAGGGGGACAATAATTCTAGGTTCTTCCATATTTATGCATTTGGTAGGCGGAAAATAAATATTTTTTCAAAATAAAAAATCGGGCATCGAGAAGTGGAGAACCCTGAGGAAATTTCTGAAGCTTTCTTACACTTCTTCAAAGATCTTTATGCAAAGAAAGAAAACAGAAAACTCTTTAAACTCTTGGGAAGGACTAAAATTGTCGGAGGAGAACAAATTGTGGCTAGAAAGAGAGTTTCAAGAACAAGAAGTAAAGGATGCATTTTTTAGCATGGACGGAGATAGAGCCCCTGGCCCTAATGGCTTCTCAGTTCTATTCTACCAGACATGTTGGAGCATCATTAATTCAGATTTATTGCAGGTATTTAATGATTTCTATCATTCAACCATTGTAAACAAAGGAAACAATTCCAATTTCATATGCCTGATTCCCAAGAGAAAGGGTACTTTAGAACCAAAAGAGTATAGACTTATCAGTCTGATTGGGAGTGTCTACAAAATTTTAGCTGAAAGATTGAAGAAAGTGTTAGGTGAAATCATATTCCCTAATCAATTTGCTTTCATCAAAGGGCGTCAAATAATCGACAACACTCTAATAGCAAACGAATGCGTTGAAGAGTGGAAGCTGAATGACAAACCAAGTTTGATTGTGAAACTCGATTTGGAAAAAGCGTATGATAAAGTAGATTGGGAGTGCCTCATGGAAACTATGAGACTAATGGGTTTTGGAAACAAGTGGATTCAGTGGGTTGAGGGATGCATAAGTTCCACCTAGTTTTCAGTTCTAATAAATGGGTAGCCAAAAGGATACTTTAATGCCAGTAGAGGCCTAAGACAAGGATGCCCCCTCTCCCCATTGCTTTTTACTCTAGTCACAAAAATTTTCAGCCAACTGGTGAATAAGGCAATCTCTCTTGGACTATTGAGAGGATTTGAAATTGGACGGGAAGCCACCCAAATATCTCATCTTCAGTTTGCTGATGATACTATCTTTTTTCTTGAAGCTGATGAAGTTTATGTGTCAAACCTGAAAAGGGTCATCACTTGTTTTGAATGGATGTCTGGAATGCAAGTAAACTTCTCAAAGAGCAGTATTGCTGGCATAAATCTAGCAGAGGCTCAATCCTTGAATAGCTTCACAGAGATCTTTGGATGCAAAGCGGAGAATCTCCCCTTCTCCTATCTGGGGATGCCTCTTGGAAGGAACCCGAAAAATCAAAGCTTTTGGGATCCAATTCTAGAAAAATGTGAGAAGAGACTAGCCACATGGAAAATGAACTACTTGTCAAACGGGGGGAGGCTCACTCTAGTTAGAGCATCCTTGGCAAACCTCCCCACCTACTACCTTTCCATCTTCCGTATGCCCAACAAGATAGCCATTCAGTTAGAAAAACTTCAGAGAATCTTTATTTGGGAAGGAGGGGGGGGAAGGGGCTCACACCTTGTGAAGTGGTCTCAGGTTAGCAAACCAAAGGAGAATGGAGGTTTGGGAGTAGGTTATTTGAAAGAAAGAAACACGGCTCTTCTTAGTAAATGGTTGTGGCGATTTCCTCTAGAGCCAACTGTACTATGGACTGCTGTAATCACTAGCAAATACGGGAAGCACACCAACGGTTGGAATAGCAAGCTTCACTTGAATCGAATCAAAGACACCCACCCTTGGAAAGGTATAATCTTGACTTACAATTTTTTCATATCCTTTATCAGACACAAAGTGGGAAAGGGTGACAGAATAAAGTTTTGGACTGACCTGTGGTGGGGTAATTCTACTTTAGCTAACTCCTTCCCTCGCCTATTCAGCCTTACCTTAAACCAAGAAGCTTCCATATCCCAGGTTTTACCCCCTCCCCTCCTTACTTCAACTGGAATCTAACCCTTAGGAGACCTCTAAGGGACCCAGAAATTAGTGAAATCTCTAGCTTCTTGCACACCCTAAGAGAGGTCTATTCTCACAAAATTCCCCTGACCTTGTTTGGACCCTTCAGCCATCAGGTAAGTTTTCAACCAAATCTTGCTTCAAAGCTTTAGTTAGGGAAGAACAAACTAATGATCAGTACTCCTACAAGAGAATCTGGTGTGCTCATATCCCTACCAGGGTATGTTTTTTCGTGTGGGAAGCCAGCTTAAAGAAAATCAACACTTTTGACCTCCTTCAGAAAAAGAACCATGGCAGGTATTATTTATCTCCACATGGCTGTTGCTTCTGCTTTAAAGCTGGGGAATCCACCAACCATATTCTGCTCCACTGTGAGGAAACTAGAAAATGCCGGAACTTCTATCTTTGTTTGAATACAGCTGGGTTTTCCCTGAAAATGTGGTTGATTGCTTAAGGCAATGGTCAGGAAGAGGATTAAGCAAAAGAGGGAAAATCTTATGGCAATCTGCTGCTCATGCTATTTTTTGGAGCATTTGGGAAGAGAGAATCAACAGGGTCTTCAACAACAGAACAAAAAACTTTGAGGAGCTGATATCTCTAATATGTTACATATGCTTCCTATGGGCTTCCAGCTCATCTCATTTCAGAGGTGTCCTTTTTGATGACCTCCAAAGAAACGCTGTAAATTTCCTTCACTCTAAACAAATACAGTTCAACACTACCTGTAACTTCAGATCTGATGTGGAGGGCGAGACGACCTTGTATTTTGATGGGAGTGCTTTTGGAAACCCAGGTACAGCGGGTATTGGAGGTGTAATTCGAAATAGAAATGGTATCAGTTGGGCTTTTAGTGGGCTGATTGGAATTGCCTCATCAACAAAGGCAGAAGTCTTGGCAGCTCTAACTGGCATCAGGATTGCAAAAGACATGGGTTTACGAAGTCTTACCATTAAAGGAGATTCAGCCAACACCATTAACTGGCTTTCTAGTCCTGACAGTGGGCCTTGGGCCTTAGCTCACTACCTAGCTGAAGCGAGAGACATTCTTGCCTCTTTAAGTGGCCAAGTGGTCTGGATTCCGAGGTAGCTAAACTCTGAAGCTGATAGTCTAGCTAAATCTGGTGCTCACAGGGATTTTCTCTTTAGTGATAGCTTTATGCCTTTGTAATTTTCTGAGAGTTTTATCTGTCGTGTACATCGCCTCATGTACCTCTCCTTTTGAATAAAGTTAACTTTTTCTCAAAAAAAAAAACGAAAATATTGTGTTAGAATTAAGCTCTAGATAATAAGTAGAAAATGCCAAATTAATTCCATAAGTGAATAACAGGACAAAAAACATAATGATCTCTAAATAGAAACCATCTTTAAACAGAAGTTACAAAAAAATTAATGAATCCACTCTTTCAGGTAAGCAGGATGCAGAAAATACACTCATTGAATCTGCATTTGCCCCTTTTCTGTGCCCTGGAAAGAGAGGGGGGGGGCTCCTCCCTCCCTCTCCCCATCTGTCAATCATAAAACAGTAGAAATCTTGTATCCTTGAAAGAAAAAAACTAAAAACACCTTAATAATTCAACATTCACAATTATAAAATACCAACCTTCTCATAACATCTCTCTTTCATTGTGCCTCTCCTTCACCTTCACCCTTTGTTATTCGTCTCATTTACTTTTTCCACATGTATTTTTTATACCTACCTACAGGAAATCTCTCACTCTGTCCATTACTTTACTAATATTTATGTGCATACCCTCTCTCTCCTACTCCCCCATTGATACAACTATTTCTAACTTTGCCATTGCCATTCATCATTATCACAGTAATGGTGAATGTTGTCAAGACACTCTCCCTATGTAGTCAAGAAATCTTGAATAAATGACGAAATTTGTAAAATAAAAATTCATTAGGAGAGTTTCTTAAATTCCAAAATAGAAAAACAAAACTACAATGTCCTACCATCAACTACAGTCAGTTGAACAAATACAAATGCAAAACAAGACATGAAACAGTAATCAATGAGTTCCAATATATGTAAAGAGAATCCTACGAGGGTATTAGATTAGTGCCTACATTCCACTATTCTTCCTAAATATAGAAATTTTCTAGACAATACCAAATGTTGAAAATATATTGATTCCCCCAAGCATATTTTTATTTTTATTTTTTTATATGTTGGCATTCCCTCAAGCAGATTGACAACATAAATATAAATCGAAAACCAAGGCTATAGCTATTAAAGTCAAACAGATGGCTAAGGTCTAAGGTGCAATTAATCCAAATATTTCCTTTAATCTCATTGTCCCCACTTCAAATCCATTTGCATGCCCAGAATGCATGAATAACAACATCCTAAAATCATACACAAAACAGAGTACATAAAAAATTGAAATGCAAAGGGAACATACCAAGGGTGCCCTTGCCTTTGGAGTGTATCAGTTTCAGAACCTAGCTTCATGCAAGTCATTTCAGGAAATGGAAAACGGGAAGAAATCTAAAGTAAAAGATGGGATTTGAACAAAGGCTATTTCAAGTGTAGTGTAAACTTTCAATTGAAACTCAACGCTGATTGAGAGAGAACCGAACTAAAGAAAACCCAAACTCTAACTGAAGCAAAGAGAAAAATAACCCCTCACTGGAGCTCAACCTAATGTGCAACCAACAGGAAAAATGAGCCTCTAATATACACCATGCAAGCAAGAGAAATCAAACCCTTAAACAAAAAGAAAATAACACTCTAAAAAAACAATGCACTTACAAACCCTAAAACAAACAGGCATGCAATGATTTCACCTTTTTCTAGGATTTACTGCAATTTGGCTTATTGAGTGAACAACGTTCGATGGACAGGCTACTGAGGAGTGTTGGCCAAGAGAGACAAAGGTCTTGTGCAATGCTTGTTAGGAAGAAATGATGAGAGAGATAGTGAGAAAGGGCTTGAACCAAGGGCTTTTCCAATGGCAATTCCAACAGAGAAACTTTAGAGGGAGGTAGAAACTCGAGTGGTGCGTTCAAATGGTGTTACACGTATAATACCATTTAATAGATTATGCACACTTTATGTCCTCTCATGGGGATACCATTTACTGAACGTTTGTGTGGCCACGAATCACCATTTTGTAATTATATATATATTGTTGGAATATTTCGGTAATTATGTATTATATTATGTGCTATTTTAGGTAGTTAAGAGATTTGTGAGCTGTACAAATATTTTTAGAAATCAGTTTTATTTTTTCCTTTATTTAGGGAGATTTGTTACCTAGTTTGTATCCTAGAGAGAGCTATAAATTTTGTTGTACAGAAGCATAAAAAGATCCCATTCTTATTATCTTTCTGTCTCTTCTTTATGGTATCAGAGCAGAAAAGACCTAGGGTTTGTTTCTACGTTTCTGTCCCTAAAAAATGTCCGAAGTCATGTCCAGTTCTCAACCTCCTCAACCTTCTCAGCCTGAGCCCCAGATTGTCCGGAATCTGCCTGAAAATTACCCTATTCAGATCACTACAATCCGACTAAATGGTGACAACTTTCTCCGGTGGTCACAATCTATTCGCATGTATCCCAGAGGGAGAGGGAAAATTGGCTATATCACAGGAGACACGAAGAAGCCTGATGTGAATGATCCAACCTATGCTGTTTGGGATGCTGAAAATTCCATGGTGATGACGTGGTTGGTTAACTCCATGACTGAAGACATAGGGGCAAATTATCTCTGCTATTCTACAACCAAGGAATTATGGGACAATGTTTCACAGATGTACTCTGATTTAGGGAATCAATCCCAAGTGTACGAGTTAACTCTACAACTCRGARATATTCGCYAARGTGAGAACTCTGTGACTAAGTATTTTAATTCTCTTAAGAGAATTTGGCAGAACCTGGACTTATTCAACAATTACAAGTGGAAGTCACCCGATGATTGCAATTATTACAAGAAGATGGTGAATGTTGGCCGAGTCTTCAAGTTTCTTGTAGGTTTAAACGTTGAATTCGATGAGGTTCGTGGCCAAATTATTGGAAGAAACCCTCTGCCCTCAATCGGTGAGGTATTTTCAGAAGTACATAGAGAGGAAATCCGGAGACAAGTGATGCTTGGAAAGAAGGCTACAGGTACAATCGGACCTGTGGAAGGGTCAGCCCTGATTATTTCYGAGGCCCAAGTCAGTCGAAGGTCATCCCAAAATCAACGGGTTGGAGACAAGAATAACCTGCGCTGTGATTACTGTGGGAAACCTCGCCATACCCGAGAGAATTGCTACAAATTGCACAGGAGACCATCCAATGGCAGGGTGAACAAACCTGGTGAATAGAATATACCTACAGCAAACGAGGCTGAATCATCTCCATTCAGTAAAGAGCAAATAGATCACCTTCTTAAACTACTAAAATCCTATTCGTCACCTAATACTTTTGTCGGGTCTATGGCATAAACAGGTAGCAATTCTTTGGCACTCTCAATTCTAGGAAAATCCGGTCMTTGGRTCATAGATTCAGGGGYYTCCGATCATATGACAAGCTGCTCTAATTTATTTAGTTCYTATTATCCTTGTTCTGGTATTGAAAAAGTGAGAATAGCTGATGGTAGTCGTTCATCTATTGCAGGCAAAGGAAACATTAAAATTTCAGAAAAAATTACTTTGAATTCTGTTTTACATGTTCCAAAACTTGCCTGCAATCTTCTTTCTGTCAGCAAATTGTCTAAAGATACTAATTGCTCCATTTATTTTCTTCCTTCCACTTGTGTTTTTCAGGACCAGAACTCGGGGAAGACGATTGGAATTGCTAGAGAGATAAATGGACTCTACTACTTTGATGAAACCGCTATTGGTAATAAAAAGGTTCATGGTTTAAGTAGTACGAGTTCAATCTCTGTCTGTGATCAAGTTATATTATGGCATAGAAGATTAGGGCATCCTAGTTTTCCATATCTCAAACATTTGTTTCCTAAATTRTTTAAAGGAATTGATTGGTCAAAACTTCATTGTGAGGCTTGTCATTTGGCTAAAGATCATCGTGTTTTATTTCCAATAAAACCTTATTTTGCTTCAAAACCATTTTATTTGTTACATAGTGATGTTTGGGGCCCAGGTATGTTGGGTTTACTTGTTGGAAAGGAAATCAGAGGTTGAACAAAGATTTAAAGAATTTTTCCTAATGATTGAAAATCAATTTCAAACCAAAATTGGTATTTTAAGATCAGATAATGGGATTGAATACTTTAACAAATACTTAGGAGCATTTCTGACCGAAAAAGGTATTATCCATCAATCAACTTGTGACACACCACAACAGAATGGGATTGCTGAAAGAAAAAATAGGCACCTTCTTGAGGTAGCTAGAGCCATCATGTTTTCTATGAATGTACCTAAATATCTCTGGGGAAATGCTCTTTTAACTGCATGTTACCTGATAAATAGAATGCCATCTCGAGTTTTAAAATATGAAACTCCGTTACATAATTTGAAAACTTGTTTTCCCACATCTCGAATAACCACAGATCTTCCTTTAAAAGTGTTTGGTTGTGTCTGTTATGTGTATATACCAAATATTTTTCGATCAAAATTGGATCCAAAAGCTGAAAAATGTGTGTTTCTTGGTTATGCATCTAATAAAAAAGGGTACAAATGTTTTAATCCAGTTGCAAAGAAATTTTTTGAGAGTATGGATGCACACTTTGTTGAGGACCAACCTTTCTTTCAAAAAAAATCTCTTCAGGGGGAGAACATAAGTAAGGAAGATAATTTTTGGGAAACTTTACCTATTCTAGAAGAATTTATACCTTTGATTAATTCTGATAAGCAAGTTTTGGAAACAATTGTTGAAAGAATGGAACCTAGTATAGTACTCTTAATCTAAATTTGCCAGATACTACGTTATCAGAGACAGGGGGAGAAGTACTTCAAACGGATCACAATCCTCATCCTGAGCTTCAATTTTATACCAGGAAGAGGTTTCACAAAAGTACTACTGTTCTAGTTGTTCCTACAACAGAAGTCGAATCCAATTTACCGAGTGAAGGTCCTACACCTCAGAGTAATCCTTCTACTCCTATTCCGTCTTTGCCTAATCTGTCATTTTCAGATATTGACATTCCAATTGCATTAAGAAAAGGTACCCGAGCTTGCACAAAACATCCTATTGCAAAATACTTGTCATATGAGAGATTATCACATACTCAAAGCATTTGTGTCTAGGATTTCTAATCTGTATGCGCCAAGAACTGTTCAGGAAGCATTAGATTATCCGAAGTGAAGGTTAGTTGTGATGGAAGAGATGAATGCTCTTAGGAAAAGTAATATGTGGAGTATTACTGATCTACCCCATGACAAGAAGACAGTCGGGTGCAAATGGGTGTTTACAGTGAAGTGCAAGGCTGACGGAAGTGTGGAGAGATACAAAGTAAGATTTGTAGCAAAAGGTTTTACCCAAACTCATGGTATAGACTACCAAGAGACTTTTGCTCCCGTTGCTAAAATTAATTCTATTAGAATACTTCTTTCTCTTGTAGTTAATTTTAACTGGCCACTTTGTCAGTTCGATGTCAAGAATGCTTTCTTGAATGGAGACCTAAAGGAAGAAGTATATATGGACCTACCACCAGGATTTGAAGAAAGTCTTGGAAGAGGCAAAGTTTGYAKGTTAAAAAAATCCYWATATGGGCTAAAGCAATCACCAAGAGCTTGGTTTGAACGATTTGGGGATGTAGTAAGGCGGGCACGGATTCTCACAAAGTCAAGCTGATCATACTTTATTTTTCAAGCACTCCACCGAAGGTAAAATAGCTATTTTGATAGTGTATGTAGACGATATTATCATGACTGGAGATGATTTATTTGAAATCAATAAGTTGAAGAATAAGCTTGAGGCTGAATTTGACATTAAAGACCTGGAAAAGCTTAAATATTTTCTCGGAATGGAGTTTGCAAGGTCCAAGGAGGGAATCTTTATCAACCAACGCAAATACATTCTTGATTTGCTCAAGGAGAYAGGGATGACAGGTTGTAAAGCCRCAGAAACTCCAATGGACCCAAATATGAAGTTAAAAGCAGCAACAACAAATGAGGTGGTTGATCGAGAACGTTATCAAAGATTAGTTGGAAGACTAATCTATTTGTCACACACAAGACCTGACATAGCCTTTGCAGTAAGTGTAGTAAGTCAGTTTATGCATTCACCTGGACCTACTCACTTTGAAGCTGTGTTCAGGATTTTGAGATACCTGAAAGGAACTCCGGGGAAAGGACTCTTGTTCAAAAATAGGGGTCATCTCCAAGTCGAAGCCTACACAGATGCAGATTGGGCAGGTAATATAAATGATAGAAGATCTACTTCAGGTTTCTGCACTTTGGTAGGAGGGAATTTGGTCACCTGGAGGAGCAAAAAACAGAGTGTTGTAGCAAGGAGTAGTGCAGAGGCAGAATTCCGCTCTGTTGCACATGGCTTTTGTGAAGTGTTATGGATCAAAAGGCTCCTAGAAGAGTTGAAGGTTCCTACACCAACACCTATTAAAGTCTATTGTGATAATAAGGCAATTATTTCCATAGCTCATAATCCAGTTCTACATGACAGAACAAAGCATGTAGAAGTGGATAAACATTTCATCAAGGAGAAGATAGACAGTGGTGTGATATGCATGTCCTACATACCCACCACGAGCCAAGTAGCAGACATTCTCACCAAAGGGCTTCCTAGGGCGTAGTATGAGAACTTAGTTAGCAAGCTTGCCATGAGTGATATATTCATGCCAGCTTGAGGGGGAGTGTTGGAAGATTTCGGTAATTATGTATTATATTATGTTCTATTTTAGGTAGTTGAGAGATTTGTGAGCTGTACAAATATTTTTAGAAATCAGTTTTATTTTTTCCTTTATTTAGGGAGATTTGTTACCTAGTTTGTATCCTAGAGGGAGCTATAAATTTTGTTGTACAGAAGCATAAAAAATCATCCCATTCTTATTATCTTTCTGTCTCTTCTATATATATATATATTGATTGTCTTATACATAATTCAGAGCCAAGCCTTGAAGGATTCAGAGAAAGTTGTCACAGTGGTCATGTGAGTAGCAGCATACTGATTATTCATTACTTTTAGTTTTAGTTATAACTTAAAGCATGTTACACTAAGGTCCAAGTTGTGTTTCTTTTAGTTATCATACACATAATTGACATCAAATCAGGGTGCAGATTGTATACCCAAAAGAAATCCCAAGCACTCACGACACCTACCCTACCTTCCACATACTCCTTACTCCTTTCTGTGATAACCATCTTAACTCATACTGGTCAAAAAGATGGTCAATGTTATTCATCATTTATCTACCAAAGTGATCTTGTGGTGAAGTGTGTTCATTGGTTCCAGCAATGAAGTCATCCACTCCGATCCCCATTTTAAAGAGAAACATCTCAGGTACCTCTTCAAACTGCCTCAGGAGTCAGAAATATGTCTATGGTTTGATCTCTTTACTATTGTTGAGATTGGAAGTGATTACATGTGGACCAACTTCAGGCCTCACAATGAGGGTTGTGAATTTGTGATCATGGTGCATCCCTGTCTGATCTAGAAGGGTCTTCCCCCTTTTATTAAAATCTAATTCATGTGAAGACCATAGTTTTCAAGGCGTCTAGGCGATTCTGGGCGACACTGGGGCGCCTAGTTGCCTAGGCGATAAAAATTTTATAATATGAAAAACTGACTTTTGGCTAGTTTCCTAGTTTTATGTACCATTTAGCATGTACGTTAATTGAAAAATAGCAATGCTTTTTATTAAGAACATTAAATTTCCTCTAAAGATGTGGCAAATCATCACATCTAAAAGATAAAAATCTTTTACATATATTAATTTCATTATTTTCAAAAATAATACTACTATAATAAGTATTTAATAGAGCAAATTCATGTTAATTAGCAGCTAAAGAAGGTTATTAAAGATGGAAAGTAAAATAAAAAAAAACAAGGATGGAGTTTCTGTTTTATTTAATTAGAGAGAATAGAAAAAAAGAACTTTATTATTCTATTGTTTCTTTCCCCCTTCTTTTCTTTTCTTTCTTTCTTTCTTTCTTTTTCTCATCTCAAAACCCTTTGATCTTTTAAATTTCAATAGTAAAACATTAAAACAAAATATAATTGATATATATAGCATATAATAAAATGTATCAACACATACATTAATAAGATACATCAATATAAATGATATTATAAAAGGCACCCACCTTGTCATTTTTGTGTCCTAGGTGGGCGCCTAGGCGACGCCTTGACAACTATACTGAAGACATTGCCAAGATTTACACTGATCGTACTGCATTCACTTTGGAGACTGCTAGTAATTTATTTCATAAAGACAACTGTTTTACAGATGGAACCTTTTTCTTTGGGATAGTAAACTTCTGTTGATCTAGGATAGATGTGTTGTCTTTGGCTTCATACTGACATTATAATACCATAAACTATGGTAGTAACTTTGTCCCAAGTCTCAATGCCTTTAATTGCAGAGAATGAGCAATACTTTACTAGGTCTTACTTAGTAATTTAGTTTTGATTATTAAGAAGATTGATATGATCCAGAGTCATCATTATTAAATCAAATAGAACCAACATTATGGTTAGATTAAATTGACACATCAGATGCTAGTTGATCTTACCTTGGTGAGAGACCTGACTGGAACTTTTGTGTTATAAGGACAAGCAACTGCATTCTTATTTATATGAATGGGGGTGGGAGTTTGCTAACCTAGAAGGTTTTATTGTACTTGGATGACAATTAGCTGGGATGAAGAATTAAACTATTTTGTAACTGAATCAATGAAACAGTGGAAACCGGATTCTAGATTTGGAAATAGATTGCCCTTTGAACCATCTAGTCATTCCGTAATAGAAGCTGGGGTCAAGGTTCCTTGACTGAAATAATATTTGGTTTCTTTAAATAATAATTTGAGGTCTTAAACCCTCTTATTCAGATCTTGTGAGTGAAATAGTGAGAACCCGGTGATAGAATCAGATCTTCTGGAGGTTTGACTGTTGAGCTTGCTTTCCAGAACAGATGGCTGGATGGATTGAGAAGGGTGAAAACAATTTATTGAGGGAACTCATCAAGAGCTTATCAGATTAATAGTTTAATAGATGAAACCTCTAGTGATTTTATGAAGAATGAAAGACATGGCATTAAATACTGAAAAATATATAGATACAGGAGCAGGATAGATGGATTTTGTTCTAATTTTTACTGGTTGGTCAAATGATTACACAACCACATTTGATTTCAAAATAGATAGCCCCCTCATTCTAGGGAACTCCCTAAGGGCTGAAGTGATGGCTATGATTCAAGGACTGAAGCTAATGAGTATGCATGGAATGAAGGATGTGGAGGTGGAGGGTGATTGCACAACAATGATTCTTGGTTGCAGAATCAGGAAAAAACTCTATTGAGTTTCAGGTCATTGGTTAGATAGACTCAATTCTTTGGCAACAGGCTGAACAGCTCATTCAACTGGCTGATTCATTGGCTAGAACAGGGACCATTAGGGATCACCTGGTGTGGGGATGTCCAGGTATGGGTATTAATGTTAATGCTGTCTTCAGTAGTTTGGGTTTTTTCTATTCTACTCTGTTTTGGATCACTTGTTGTACTTTATGGTCTGATTCCCTTTTGTGGGGAGTTGGATGATTTCTTTTGCAATGAAATGAATTTATTACTTGTCAAAAAAATCTTGGGATTTGGGAGCATTGATATTAGGTTTGTAATAATAATGGGCCATGTCAATAACAAGATTGGGACATGACATGGTAGAAGGAAGAAAAGTAGCAGAAGAGATGCATTTAGTTTTAGATCTTAGCTTATTTTCTACAGGGTTTTGGTCCAACAGTTACTAACTTCATCTATCATTTAGCATCAAAATCAAGGAAACAATAATAAAAATAGGGATCCAAGAATCAAATATTCTTTGGTTTCAATAAATATATTTAGATGGCATAGTTCTTATTGAAGGTTTTACCTGTTTTTCTAGTTTTTAGGCAGGCATCCTTTGTTTGTAGTCTCTCCACCAGGTGGATGGATAATGATTGTACACTCATCTTGGCAATTGAAATTCACAATGGTATTACACACGTTTGTTCCTTTTTGGATGTTAAATAAAGGAAAAGTATATCATGCAACACTCTATCATACTTTTGATGATTTCTGCAGTTTTTTTCCTCTTTTTGTGCTTCCACCTAACAGTTGAAGTTCTGATTATCCATGCATCTATATGTGATGTAAGACAAGGTAGAGGGTCCTACAAATTTTGGATCTGGCGGTGGGCTCTATGGGGTGAAGGGTGGGCTTTGGGTAATTAACTATGAAAATAGGGATGGAGAAACAGGTAGGCAGCTTGCTGTTCATTAAAGAATGAGCAAGAGACTAGGAAGAAAAAGAACTCTATCTGTTATAGTAAATAGTAAAGTGATAGACACTTAGAAGAAGAAATAGGTGAGAGAAAACATAAAAAGAGAAACTCTGGGCAGCACTTGGAATTCACTATAAATAGTTTCATCATAAAACTTAGATGTCCCATTACATACTCCAATTGGAGGATTTATCTTCATGATGTTTTTAGTGATACAAAGAATATGTTGTCAGTTTGTAATGGACTTATCTTCAAGATTTTAACTACATAGGGAAAAAAAGTAAATTATTGGAAAGATTTGGAGGTTTACATTTTCTTGGTAACAAAGTGGTTAATTCATTTGAACTTGTTGATTGACAAAGATAAAAAAGAAAATGACTTCAACTCGCTTTAAAATCTTGAACTATGATTACTTTGATTCACTTAAATTTGATAGGAATACACTCGCTTTGTCATTTCATGATTTCATCACTACCTTGATTGATGTTTGTGTGAACTCAGAGTGATCAGTGCACAGTACCAATTTATTTGACATCATTAGTTATTTTCTTACGTTAAAAACTAAAAATGAGCGTTCATGAAGTGGCTTACTTTACCTTGTATTGATGAATTGCACCAGTAAATGGAACTAGAATTAAATATTATTGAAGATAAGAAATTCATGCACAACTTGTTTTCTGTTACGATCCATTTGTCCCATGTTGGTAGTAAGGGATGCTAATGTGAGGTATCCCACATCGGTAGAATGGGATGCTGTTGCGGTGACAGGATCTGCTCCTCACAAATGGGCGCCTCACATACACATCCACCGTGCATTGAAAACATTTCCCGTGAATAATAAGAAATATGTATAGGAGATGTTCCCAATGTATGATAGGATGTGTGTGAGGCGCCTGTGAGGCGCCAGGTGTGAGGAGCAGATCCGGTCTCGCTGTTGTGGGGTATATATGTGCTTGGGTTCCCTCCCTCTAACAGTTAGCTTTTAGGGGTGAGTTCTCCTAAGGCACATAACAAATGGTATCAGAGCCTACACTATGCCTCCCAGTTGCAATCGTGTGGCATAAGTGGTGATGTCGGTATTGCAGTGTTCGGCCGGGACTAGGTGGACTAGTGCAAAGCCAGCCTGCGTGGGCGCCGGGACTGCAGAGCGTGGTGGAATGTTATGATCCATTTGTCCCATGTTGGTAGTAAGGGGTGCTAATGTGAGGTATCCCACATCGGTAGAATGGGATGCTGTTGTGGGGTATATATGTGCTTGGGTTCCCTCCTCTAACAGCTAGCTTTTAGGGGTGAGTTCTCCTAAGGCACATAACATTTTCCTAGTTATAAATTTATCACTGTACTGTAAATAGTTTAAGTGCAATTATGTTGCTCTATTTTGTTTCTATTTGTTTGGATTTGGACAACATAAAATGCTTTCAGTGTTAAGATGGTCATTCTGATTATTTGTTCTTCTGGCTAGGTTATATTCTCAAGTTCAGTGGCAAGAAAAACAACACTTTCGATCTGCCACTTATTGCTCATGTTCTAGTGCTTCATGGTTTGCTGAGGTAGAGATTGAGATAAATGTCATTTAACTTTTTAGATTTTTGATATTACAATGGTACAATGAGATAATTGTTGTTAGCTCTTGAAATTTATTTGAGAAATACATCTGGGCAGATTTGTTCAAGCGTGGAACTCAAATACTTTGTTGGGTCCTGATGGCTGATGCAAGACAGTTTTCCTCAATTGTTATCTCTACAAATAGTGACATTGTCCCAGGGGCTTTACTGCTTTTATATAGTGGTTTTAAGGACCATAATTAACATGTCTTGTATGGTTTTTTTGGCTTTTTTGCTCAAAATGAAATACATATATTGCCTGGAAATCATTTTTATTATCTTAATTATAATGATTAAATAAATGAATCAACCAAATATTCCAGTTTTATGTTGAATTGTTCTGGTTGGAAAACCCTTTTTGCTCAAAATGGAACAAATATGTTACCCATTATTCACTAATGGGGTGTTCCATAACGCCAATGTTGAAATTGCCACATCAGAAAAAAAAACATGTTCTTGAACTGCAATTTTTGTTTTGAAAATAAAAAATATTTTGTTTTCGTTTCAAAAAGGTGATTCAGGTTTTGCAAAACCGTCAAAATGATGATTTTTACGACAAACACAAGTTTTGAAGTACAGATAATGTAGGATTTATGAAAGATGATGAGATCATTAGATAAGAATATTCTATTTAAGTTAAATTCAAGATTTTTTTTTTGTTTCAGTTTTGGAGATAAAAGCACATGTAATAAAAAACATGCGTTTTGTTATTATTATTGTTTTTATTTTAAGAACCTATTTGTTTTTAAATCACATGGTTTTACTTTGTTTTGGTTTAGTCACAACAAGAAAGACAAATTCACATTGGTAGTCACCCCTAAGTTTTGAGAAATTCCTTGATAACCTTCCGTGAACTTATCTTCTATCAAGTCATTCAATTCAGTTATTTTCAGCTGTTGTCCCAAAATTAACTAAATCATGAGACACATCAACTCTAGGTTGGAGGCATATAAATGTATATATCTATCTATATATATATACATATAAATATGGGACACATCCCATTCAAACAGGCATCCCTACACATGCATCTAACCTGATTCTTTCCAAGGACTTGTGAAAGCAATAGAAGGCAAGATGACAGTTTCAGATTCTCTCGCATTCTATACTGTTTTGCTTGTTAAAAGCTGATTGTGAGCCTGTGACCGTTTATGGCATTCCCTCATTTCCTTCCCTGGATATCCATAGTCCATAATTTATTGTTATATGCGTAGTAATGTAATCGGTGTTCCCAAGTCCCAGCGACTACTAAGACTATTACGGATGAGTTTACATCTGCGCCTCACAACTTCCTACAGTATATTTTCGTCATGTATTGGGAATATCTTTTGATGATAACATCATTGAGAAGAAATGTTCTCAAGACAGAAATGTGCTGTGGAACGTTACGGGGCACCCCCTTGTGGGACACAAATGTGAACGGACGTCTACTGCAATATGGTATGTAATGGACTAGAAAACGCTGAAATCTGGAAGAGATCCAAAATTCATTTAAATGAAATTAAAGTATGATCTCGAAATGATCTGAGCGTAACAAGAAATGCGTACAAAATGAAATCATACTTTACCCTCAGCTCCAAAAAACAACCTTCCATCTACTGAAAACTCGAGCATGTTACTAAAACATGCTATTGAAATCTTTGAAATCAAACTATTGATAGCGCCTCATTTTGATTGGCTAAACTGTTCAAACCTACTTGCATATTATATCTCAGGTTCTCCGTGTTCAGAAACCCCGGGTGGAAACTAGGAAATGAAATTGCTTTACATGTTCGTTTCATATCATATATTCATGCTGCTGAGCCAAATTATTTATCGTCCCCGACAGGATTGAAGCAGTCTTCTCGCGTTTCGAATGACCAACCGAGATTTTTTTTAGGGAAAATTTCTGATGAGTACTCTGTACTTTGGTTCAAGTGACAATTTGGTCTTCAAACTTTAAAATGTGATAATTTAATATTCAAACTTTCAAAATGTGACAATTCAATATTTGTCTACCCGAACTTTCAAAATATGACAATCCAGTACCTGCCGTTGACCAGTCCGTTAATCAGCCATTAAGTGATTTGAAAAATAAAAAATGCCCTTCAAATGCCATTTAATTCTCTTTATCAACCATCCAAACGTTGACAAAAAGCTAAACAGTCCCAAATGCTAGCCTCTTCTATTAAAAAACATTGGTCATTGTTTAGAAGAATCTAGAATTTGAGATTTTTATTTTATTGTCAATGTTTGGATGGTTGATAAAGAGAATTGGATGACATTTTTAGGGCGCTTTTGACTTTTTAAATGTCACTTAACGGATGATTAACATACTGGTTAACAGCAGGTACTAGATTGTCTCATTTTGAAAGTTTGAGTACTGAATCGTCGCATTTTAAAGTTCAGGGACCAAATTGTCACTCAAGCCAAAGTACATGGTACTGATAAGGAATTTTCCCTTTTTTTAGCTACTAGAAAATAAATAGCAACTGGAAAATAAAACTTTTCATATAGCTAAAATATAAGGCTGCATTTAAAAAGATGCAAATAAGTGTGAATGCAAATGTGCAGAGTGTAAAACGGTTCATATAATTGCAAAATTGGGTTAGTTTTGCACTAACAAATTTACCTTCTTGCCAAACAAACTTTTAGCTGTAATGGATGCAAACATGAATTCCAATAAAGCATATGCTTTTTTTTTTAATCAAAAGCCCACTTGAATGCAAATTTACTTCTTTTTTATTGATGCACCTTTACATCTTATTATCAATGTAAATATGCATTGGTCTGTCATTTGTCAATGCATAAATGTAATGTTGACACAGGCAAAAATGAAATAGAGTGCAAATTTACCCTGAACCGGGATTTAGACTCTATTTGTATCGTTTCTAAATGCAGCCTTAGGGTAAAAAGAGGAAAGGATAATTCACCAGTTCAATTAATTATTGGTTGACGACTAATAGGCTTTTTAAAGGCAAATCCATTATTATTATTTTTTTATTTAGTTTCCTTTTTGTAGACCGTCGTGGATTGATCACATAGTATAGTGGTGTGTAGCACCTTGTTGTATAGGGGCTTTTGCCTTTTCAATACAATATAATGCATGGTTTTTAAAACCGACCTGGAGACCGAACTGGTCAGGGGTCCGGTTACTGGGTCGAACAGTTTGATCGTTCGACCCGAATGGTTGGCTTGTTCTGACAAAAAAGAAAAGAAAAGAAAAGAAAACCGGTCAAAACTGTTTAAACGGTTTTTATAGAAAATCCGATTTTGGGGAAAAGCGGAACTGGTCACCTGACTGGTTCCCGGTTTTTCCGGTCCGACCATCCGATCCGGTCTGGTTTTGAAAACCATCGTATAATGACATTACCTTTCCACAAAGAGATTAGCAGAAACTAAAAAAAAATTCTTTGAAGGAGCTGTGCAATTTAAGTGGCCCAATAGATTAGCAATGAACCAATAACCATAAAAGCGACCAAATTAAATAAACGAAATAAACACTGATTGAATCGTATTAATTATAATGAAAAATAGATTAAAGATATGCTACGTGACTTGTTAGATAGAAATAACCATTAAAGGAAATGGCCTCATTGATATAATAAAAGAAAAAACAATTTAAAACACAGGCCCAAGATATCTTTTTAACCTCTCAACATGAAAGCAAAATAGCCATTTAAGATTAATGATAAAATCATGTAGCCAATTAAAGCAACAATATAATATACATTTGAACGCTAAATTAGCATTTCATAACATGTTTCACAAAACGGGATACTATAGTCCCCTAATATACAACCACAATGGGCTACTCTCCATTGTTTAGCCCCATAGAGCAGAAACACATCAATAAAACACGTTCTTCTATATTAAACTTATAAAATATGGGCCACACTGGAGATTGAACTATGTTCCAAAACTTGTAATTTTATGAAATTTCAATGGATGGAAATTGTTGGGTGACAATTGGTTAACAGAAGTGGACTCTTCCAAAACTTGGAGAATTGATATTTGAGTAGGAGATGGCATGGATAAAAATATCAATGGAAGGAGTCATCTAAATGCATCAAATACGAAGGTAAGGTAAACGGTCAATTATGATCTACTTGGGCCAAGAAAATCATGGATTTTTATAACTCTTGGATACCTCAAGTTAATTTTGTCAATTAATGGCAAAATGTCTTCGCAACAATCAACCGAATACATGGATCATGTTTTAGGAACCACTTAACCTGCAGGTCATCTAATTGAAGTTCGAACATGTATGACTATGTTTAATTGATGGGTTCTACAACATCTTTTATTTTTTAGAGAAATAAATCAAATAATTAAAATTAAAAATACATTCGGTAGAAGTACTGTACTTGCTAAGTTGCTATGCAACTCTCTAGCAAGATGTTGGAATGCTGGAACGGTGGAACCTAAGGTTAATGGCGTCTGATTTGTCCTACCCGATCAGCAATAGTTGTGTGCTTTCCAACAATCAGGAACGAACATGACAAGAGAGAATAATGGTTTTGATGAGAGAAACAAAACTGATTTTAGCCTTGAATAAACTCCTTTGAACACACAAACACGGGACGAAACCTCTTGGCATCAGTGTATTTTGAAAACTTTTAAGCAAAACACTTTGCATTCCATTTGCAACAAGTGCCCAAAATATTCTAGTTTTTCTATCTGCCTATTCTGCTGCTCTTTTTAACATATAAATGTGCTTTTTTCACAAGGTATTCTCATAAATAAAATTGGAAATGTGAAATAAGGGTCTTTTGAATAAGGGTAAAGTTGAAAATAAAAATCAGGGTGTTCGACGAAGAGACGTTGATCATTCTCATTTTTAATAATGGGGTGTAATAGAAATTGCCTGATTCAGCCAGCAAGCACTATGTGCATTCTTTGGTTTATTTATCATATGCCCAGTAACACAAATCATCAGCTTGATTCTACCGTTAAAACTTGGGGAAAATTAGCACAAGGGTATGATTCCCAAAAGACTAAAAATCCCCAGGCCAACTAGGCAGTGCAGAGAACTCTTTGGACAAAAAAATAAATTCTTTATATTTTTCTCATGTTATTCTGATTGAAATTAGCTTTTCAGAATGATGTTGGAAATCTAAATAAATGATAAATTTAATGAATAATAAAATGAAAATAGAAAACCATAAATGTAATTTGGAAGCCTGGTTTTGTATGAAAGTAACAAAAAAGGAAAATAAAATTAAAAGAAAAAAAAAATTCACCATTGATGAATCTCTCCTCGACAATAATAATAATAATCAATGAAAAGTACTGGATGTCTAAAAGTCAAAAGAGGACTGAGGGGGTATAAGTTGCAACTAGAGGAAATCACTTTTTTTTTCAAAGATTTTGATCCACAATACAATTGTAAGTGAAAATTTAGAGGTGCCCATATCAGCAATTGTTTTCTAAAACTTGCTATAAATTAGATTCAGCAGGGCCCTCTAGGACTGTTACAGTCCTACTGTAGGACAGCATAGATGACAATTGACAAATCAAAAACATCTTTGAACACTTGAGGAAGCAAAGCTATATATTAAACAGATTTTGACAATGAACCTCCCTAAATGAGATGTTCTAAGCTCCCATTTTGTAGCAACGGCAAAGAGCAAGCAGCTCCGTCAATTTCTACCTGTGCTGGATTTTTATCTGGCCAGAGCAAACAAGGAGATGCCTTAGGCAGAAGTAGACTAAACTTCCCAAAGCACCATGAAAGAAGCCATCATTCTGAAAAGAGATGGGATGCACTTTGCCCATCAACAGTTATGGTCTTCAAGGAACGTAAGGTCCTTCAGGACTATGGATATCATGGTGAGAGCATTTGGCTCATTTTTTTTTAATCTCAAATTTCCATGGATGATGGCAACGAATCAGATCTGCAAACATCCCCACGACAAAGTGGACATACCCTGCAAGCATAAAGGGATATACGAGTATCTTTAAAAACATAATAAAATAAAAGCTTTTTTTTTGAAGAAAAAATAGAAGTTGTAGGCACGCTTATTAGCAGCATTGATGGTTTGATAACAACAATTGGGATACAACTATCTAGAAGGATAACACTCTTTAATTAGGAAAAGTTTTTCCCTCTATAAATCATTTCACGTTTTCATCTGTTATGTCCCCTCTAAAGGAGACCAGGTATACTTCTGGGAGGGTTTTTGGTGGAGAAATGAACCCTTTAAATTGGAATTCCCTAGATTCCCCCATTTTTTAACTACAAAAACCTCAATAACAATAATAATATAAGGCTTGGTCCTTGTCTCCAGATTGACCTCAATAACAACAATAATACAAGGCTTGTCTATCTCACTTCACATTGTTATTGATCAAGATGATCTTCAATGGGATTTGGATTTTGGTAGAGGACAAAGATCTTAAATTTTCTGAATGCCTTCTGAAACACATTCTAAGTGGTTATAAGACAGATGAATATAGGCAAGGATGAAAAACACCACATAAGACAGATGACTTGACCAGGGAGTAAGTTTAATTCAGGTCAAGGTCTGCTAGTAACAAACAATGCTAGACACGTCAGTTTTCTGCCACCTTTCTTCCAAGTCCAACACATTTGAGTGTTCAAAATACATGCACAAGTGCACTTTCTCATGTGAAGACAGATGACATAAAACTGTGATGCCACACATTGTTTTGTTACTAGCAGACCCAGACTCAAATTCTATTGGGATTTGGGACTGGGGACTAGTCCTATGACTGACAAGGGTTGCAAAAAAAATAGATTACTGTGTAAATTGAATTTACTGGGTTGCTAACAAAATTTCTAATCTGGTTACTACACACATACACACACACCTTAAACAATTAAAGAAATAAATTAAAGAATCTTTTGTCACTTCATTTCACAACCCCCACAATCAATTAGTCACCAAATTCTATAATATTAGGTTGCTTTCTTAGGCCAATAGCCAAACAAAATAGGATTAGCAGAAACAATAGCTGTTCAGTGGGCTGTGGTGGAACCAATGATAATGCCCCACACCAGTTAAAATATATTGGGTCCACAATCATTCAACCTCTCACTGTGAGCCCTATGTATTTTATGGCTTGCGTGGGGCATTGTCATTGGTTCCACAACCCACTACACAGCCATCACATTCAGCTAATTTGAATTCGAGCCAAACACTTAGCAGGCTCCAATAGACAATATCAACTCCCCCAAAAATGAAATATACTAGATATGACACGTGAAACTGCAACACATAATGAAATATACCATACAATCCTCAGTTCCTCACAATGTTTGCATAGCAAGCTGATGATCCAGCATCAGCAGTCAGCAGACTACCAATCATAGCTTATAAGGCACCAAGGTGACACTAGCTAAAGGAGGCACCTTGTTGCCAAGGTGTCACCTAGGCAATGGATTTTTTTCTCTAAATAAAAAAGCCTAAATAGAGTATCTCCCTAGGTTCATTGCAACCAGAAATCATCTTTCACTCGTAATTATGAGTAATCTTCATCAAATAGGTATTAAATTTCATATTAAAATATAGAAAATCAACATATTCATGAGAAGAAAAAGAAGAAAATAAAAGGAAGAAGAAGAAGAAGAAGAAGAAGAAGAAGAAGAAGAAGAAGAAGAAGAAGAAAAATTGATTGGATAAAAGTTTATGTTCTTCCTTGTTTAACAGTTCAGGTTATGAAGTCTTCAAGAGTTTAATACAACTACACAGACATGTGTTGATTGTAACCCTAACAAAAAGAAAATAAAAAAGAAACTAGTATATAAACCCACATAATGAATAATTTAGTGTAATAATGTATTTTATAATTATGATCTTAGAAAATAAAAAATACTATATAGCGCCTTGAACAAAAAAGCTATGAGGCGAGGTTTAAGTAATCTCCAAAGATGCTTTGTCACCTAGTTGTTGCTGCATCACCTTGACAACTATGCTACCAAGAAGCACCAACCAAACACCTCCATTCTGGGGGGATTAATATTGCCAACTCACTTGCAAATACTGTACCATGATCACCATGAAAAAAAATGTAGAATGAACTTGTTGGATTAACTCATTTAGCATTCTCCTTAGATAAACCCTTGAAACTCCCCGGGACCCCAATAAAAAGCATTGTTTACTAGTTACATATATTTTTTATCAGTAGCACATAATCAAAGGAGTGTATTAATAGAAAATATTAAAAGATAATAAAAAAGAAAAAGGATACAAACACCCCTGCATAAAAAAAAAGGATCAAAGGGACCAAAAAAATATGACAGACCCATCTCACAGAAATTACAGAAACATAGAATCAGAAGCCAAGATTCCCAAGCCCAATGCCCCACAATATAGTTCAGCACTTCCAACCTCCTCTCACTTTAATCTATACACTTAGATCAATTGCTAATCTGGGAATCCATCTGAGAAAGATGTTTGCTCTAGCAGCCAAAGATAATGCATCTCTAAAATAGTGCCTTAAGGCACAAAAGGCCTTCAGTGTCAGAGGTCATTCAACCAATTACAACTTGACAATCTCATTCCACCTGCAGATTGTTCAGCTCCAAATGAGAAACCAAGCCTTGATCCATGAAGAGCATTTGTGCTCTAAGACGGTTGCTTTTTATAGATCCTCAAAAAACCATTAAGATTTTCCATGGATGACCTCCATCACTGCCACAGGAACCACGACTGATAAAAGAAGTTATATTTCATTTCTAGACTAAAGAATGAAGGGGGAAGCTTTTTTGGTAAAGGGGAAGAGATTGCTAGATGCTTGGTGGACCATTTTAAATATATCCTTTGTATGCTACCGCCCCCTAGACTGAGAATTGCGGGTCTAGATGAACCTCAGTTTGAGGGAACCCAGAACCCCCACCTGGCCTTTTAGAGAAAGCATTCAAGATCAAAGAGACTAAGAGGACAGTGTATGCTTTGGAGAAATCTAAAGCCCCTAGCCCAGATGGTTTCAACTTGGCATTTTACCAAGAATGTTGGGATGTGATTAAGTTGGACCTATTAGCAATTTGTAGAGAGTTCCATAAGAGGGGTATAATCAACATTTATACCAACTTCACTTTCATTGGTTTAATTCCAAAGGATAAAGATGCTATCTAGTATCTACCCTAGAGATTTTAGATCAATCAGCCTTATTGCCCTTACTTATCGTCAAAACCCTTTCCTTGAGGTTAAGAGAGGTCCTCCCCACCTTAATTTCACCTATTGAAGGGGCTTTTGTTAAGGATAGACAGATCATTGATCAGAGTTTGATTGCTAATGATGTTTAGAAGAAATGAGAAGAAGTGACAACAAAGGTTGGGATTACGAATTAGGTTTGGAGAAGGAATATGCTCTGGTAGATTGGTCCTTCCTAGATGAGGTGTTGGAGAATCATGGGTTTGAGGGAAGAAATTCAGATCAGCTATCAACACACGGTCCCAACAACATCCCAACCAGCTATTGCAGCCGTACATCGGAACATCTCCCCATGAACGACAGGGGAGATGTTCCCAATATGCAGCTGCAGTGGTCTGGTGGGTCATTGCTGGGAGCGTTTTGTTGGTGGCAGATCCCTATCCTGAGGAAAGATGGAGGAAGTAAATTAAAGGATTTACTAGTACTAAATTGGTTCATTTCTCAATCTTGATCAATGGGGTAGTCAAAGATTTCCTTAAAGCTAAGAGGGATTCAGAAAAAGTGATACTCTCTCTCCCTTTCTCTTCAGTCTTCATCCATTGGGACACTGATTATTCACCTACAGGCAACAACTTATGGATGATATCATATTATTTTGTGAGCATATGAAGGAGGAAGGAGCTAGGGGAACTTGGAGCCTTTAATAAGGTGAGTGAAATTAAGAGAGTATCTTCCATTTTGGGTTGTTCGAGGGGAGAGTGGCCAGTGGAACACTCCAGGTTACCTGGTAATCTTAGGTCGTTTGCTTTTTGGTATCTGATTATGGACAGATTTTCAAAAGAGTTGGTGGCTTCAAACAAGTCTTAAATCTATTTGGAAACTAGAATCACACTAATTAAGTCAACCTTAGCAAACGTTCCCATCTATTATTTACCCACCTTTAAGATTCCAACCATGGTTGGGACTCTGACTGTCTTCAAGAGCTACATTAGCTTTCTTGTAGAAGTCCATTGCAAGTTTGTTACATTCTTTTCTGAGTTTTATTCACAATGACCTTTATTCTAGTAATAAAATCAAACTTTGGGAGGACCTCAGGGGGATGATGTGTTCAAAAATTTAGTATAAGGTGTTTATTTTTTTAACATATAAAAAATTTAGTATAAACACCTTTAACTCTGGTGTTGAGGGAACAGCGAGGCATAGGCAAATAGAACACAAAAAATTCCAAAAGTCAGCCCCTAGCTCTGATCGACAGACATAATCCAACTCAGGAAAGATGAATACCCAATCTGCAACAGATATTCTGATGGTGCCACAGTCTTCTCAATCTTCCATCATCCCCACCTTCTATCCTACTTTTGAGAGCACACAAGGGTCCCAAATTGTCACTAATCCTCCAGAAATACTACTTCATCTTTCCTCTGGGATTGGGGGAGTTTTCAGGAATGAGGAAGGGATTGTTATTGCTCTGTTCTCTGGCCCTATTGGAGAAGGAAACTCTATTAGGGCTGAGATCCTTGCAGCTTTGGAAGGGGTTCAAAGAGCAAGGGAACTAAATATCAGTCGGCTGATTTTGGAAGGTGATTCAAAGGTGGTGATTAGCTGGTTGAAGAAAAATGACAGTGGCTTKTGGAGTTACAATAATGAAAAGAAAAAATTCTTATGGCTATGTAGAGGAATTGAGATACAATACAGCTAGGTGAAAAGGACTGTTAATTCTTTTGCAGATGGGTTGGCCAAGCAAGGGGTGAATAGGGAGGCTATTTTTTGGGCTAATTTTTAATCTTCTTTCATTGTAATTTTCTGATGGG